TTCCTCCTCCTGCTCCTCCTCCTCCTCCTGCTCCTGCTCCTCCGGGGCAGGGTGTGAAGCGGGGCTGTTCTGGTGGAGTTGCTGTGCTGGTGGATCCCATTCTCCAGCTCCTCTCCCTTCCCCTGCAGTCCCAGGCTGGCTCTGGATGGCTCCAGGAGCGATCAGGACCTGCCAGGAGCTTCCCTGTGTGCTCTGCTCTGCTCTGAGGGATCCCCCTTTCCCTCCCAGCTCCCCTCACTGTGAGCAGAGCGGGGGCTGAGGGCTCTGAAATGAAGGCAGAAAGCAGTTTATTGCTCCTCAAGTCCCCTCTGCCAACCAGCAGCTCCTGCTGTCAATAAAGCAGCCATCACAAGCTGCTYGTGGGCTTTTCCCAGGAGGAGAGAGGTGGGAGGCAGGGGCTGATGGCTTTGGAAGGAGGATAATGGAGGGAGAGAGGGCTTGACACGCTGCTAACCGAGCCGTGGCAGATGTTTCCCTTTCCCCAACTTCTGTTTCTCCCGAAATAATTCACCCTTTTGCCGAAGGAAAACAAGATTGCCTGTCTTTATCTGGCTGAGCTCTCGGTGTCTGGGCTGGATCTGTGTCTGCCCACCCAKCCTGTGCAGGATGTGCTTGGAGAGAGCCCTGCGGTGTCCTGGCTCCCCAAATTCCTGAGGAACAGCATCCCGCTCTCACCTGCTGCTCTGCTGGATCTGGGATGAGCCCAGCACTGGTTGGATCCAGCCCTGTTGGTCCCAGCCCTGTCGATCCCAGCCCTGTCGATCCCAGCCCTGCTGATCCCAGCCCTGTCAATCCCAACCCTGTCGATCCCAACCCTGTCGATCCCAGCCCTGTCAATCCCAACCCTGTCGATCCCAGCCCTGCTGATCCCAGCCCTGTTGGTCCCAGCTCTGTCAGTCCCAGCCCTGTTGATCCCAGCCCTGTCAATCCCAGCCCTGTTGGTCCCAGCCCTTCAGTCCCAGCCCTCTCTGGCCTTCTGTTGGCCAAAAATGCCCAAAGCTCCTGTTGGCTGCAGCTGCTACTGCCCCTGCCCAGCTCTGCCAGCCCTGGGTCATCTCTTTGCCTTCATCTTTGCGAATTAATCACTCGGTCCAGCAGGCAGGGCTGGGTCCCCACCACGAGCTGGGCAGCCCTGGATGATCCCGTGTCCCTGCCGAGCATCCTCCYTGCCCGTCAGCCCCAAACGAAGGCTGGGCCCGGCTGCAATTAGCGCCCCAGCTAATTAGGTTGAACCCACACTGACGGTTTCCTGCGCTGTAATCACAGCCCCTGTCGCCCTGCGCTGAGTGGCTCAGCAAGACTTTTCCTGATCCACTCCTTCCCGTGGCTTCTCGTTGCTGTGATAATMATTTTCCTCTGCTGCTGCACCAATCCCAGCCTCCCCCCTCCACTCCAGCCGTGTTTCTGCYGTTTTATCGGGATATTCCGCTTCTCTCCCGCTGTGCACCTCACACCGGGGCCCTTTGCCGCAGATTTACTTGTTTTCATTTCTCTTTCCTGTTTAATTGTATTTTCTTTCCTCCCCTCCGCGCTCAGGTCCCTCACTTCAGAGTGGCTCCGGAAGAGTTCCTGAAGCTGCAGCTGCAGAGGTTCACCACGCTCAACCTCCACCCCAGCAACACCGACATCAGCGTGGCCGTGGCGGGGATCCTCAATTTCTTCAACTGCACCACCGCCTGCCTCATCTGTGCCAAGGCTGAATGTAAGTCTTTGCCAGGCTCTGGTTTATCTCCTTTTTGTCTGGAACATCCCCCAGGTCCTCCTGTCTCCGGTCAGAGCAGTTTTTCCACCCTGTTGCCCCATGGAGGTGTTTTTCAGAGGAGAAAAAGGGGATGGGAAGAGATTTTCCTGCCTTCTGTTTGACCATCTGAAGAGCGTTTTGCTTCCACAGATGGGGTTTGGAATTAGGAAAAAAATTTAAAAAGGCTTAGGCCTGTTTCTGGAGGTTATTTTTAGGCAAGGAGAGCATTTTGCAATGTGCCTTTTTCAGACCCACGTGCAGTTTGTGGCCTAAAAGCAGGATTTGATTAACAGTGACCATAGTGCACACCCATCCTGGGCTCTGCAGCCATCCATCTGCTGGTGATGGTGTGTCTGGACGCTGGAGTGTCCATCTCAGCGCGGCCATGTCCACCTCAGTGAGGCCATGTTCACCCACCTCAGTGGGGTAACACCCACCTCAGCAGGGCCATGTCCACCTTGGCAGGCCCAGATGCACCTCAGCAGGGCCATGTTCACCTCAATGGAGCCAGGTCCACCCCCCTCAGTGGGGTCACGTCCATCTCAGCAGAGCCATGTCCACCTCAGCAGGCCCAGATTCACCTCAGCAGGGCCAGATGCACCTCAGTGGTACTGTGTCCAACTCAACAGGGCCGTATTCATCTCAGCAGGACTATGTCCAACAAAGCAGGGCCACATTCACAACAGCAGGGCCATGTCCACCCCAGCAGAGCCATGTCCACCCCAGCAGGGCCATGTCCACCTCAGCAGGGCCATGTCCACCTCAACAGAGCCATGTTCACCTCAGCACGGCCATGTTCACCTCAGCAGGGCCATGTCCACTTCAGCAGAGCCATGTTCACCTCAGCAGGGCCATGTTCACCTCAGCAGGGCCATGTCCACTTCAGCAGAGCCATGTTCACCTCAGCAGAGCCATGTCCACTTCAGCAGGGCCATGTTCACCTCAGCAGGGCCATGTCCATCTCAGCAGAGCCATGTTCACCTCAGCAGGGCCATGTCCACCCCAGAGGGTCATGTCCACCTCAGCAGGGCCATGTTCACCTCAGCAGGGCCATGTCCACCCCAGCAGAGCCATGTTCACCTCAGCAGGGCCATGTCCACCCCAGCAGAGCCATGTCCACCTCAGCAGGCTCTGTGTCCCCGTGGTCAGCACAAAGCGTGTCCTGTGCTTGCTGAGGTCACCGCAGTGACGGTGGTGTGGCCACACCAATCCTGCTGTTATTGCCCCGTGCCAAACCCATCAGCTCTGGTGTCTGCCAGACAAACCAGCCTGGAGGAGAGGCTTTGGACAGGCACCTGGATGCAGGAGGGAGACCTTTGGGCACGCTGCTCTCACCAGGGGAAGGAAGGGCAGGTCATTCCCAGTTAGCCCTGGGCAACCTTCCATCAGCAGCTGAGTGAGCAGTGCAGGGTTGTGGCAGATTCCCACATGGGGACACCGGGATCAGGAGTGTCCTGACCCTTCCTTGGTGCTCTCTGTGCCCTCAGGACAGCGGGCACTCAGCTGAATCAGTAAATCACCCTCGGTGATCCCACTCACGTTTAGCTCGAAATGATGCAATTAAAATCATGCAAATGGCTTCCCACGCCGCTTCTGGAGCTGGGTTTTTCATTGTCTGACCTTCACCTGAAGCAGGAAGGGAAGGGGAGATAATGAGGTTTTCTGAGCTGCCGTGCTGGGGGCTCAGGGCTCTGCACCCCTGCCCCGCTCCCCACTCTGGGGCYAAAACAGGCAGGAGCCTCCCGCTGCCATTAACATGATTAATATGATTTTCATTTAGCTGCATCAAACCCTTCTACCTGAAGCAATCCAATTTATTTCACTCTGGTGCTGCTGCATGACTCAATATYGGGGATTTATTGAGTCCCACACCCAGGGAAGCAGTGGGACAGGAACCTTTCATCCCTCCTGCTCTCTCTGCTCAGCAAGGAGATGATCTGAGCCAGGCTGGGAGTCTGGCGTGTCCTGAGTGTGACAGAGCCCAGAAAAGGCACAGCTGAGCTTCCTGCAGCACCACAAACCCTGATTTTCCCTTAGTGCTGCTCCTTAAACAMCTAACCCGAGGCTTTGCAGGCTTTTGGGAGGTTCCCTGGAGGCAGCTGAGGGGAGCAGATGAGCTGCTGCTCATCAGCGAGGAAATGCTCTTTGGAGGGATGTTATTATTTAGATCCCAAGAGGGGCGGCTTGGAGCGGCTTCGGGGCTGTGTAATGGGGCTCCTGGGCCCTACCCTGCTCATCCTGTCACATCCTGACCCTGGGGATGGGCTCTGATTTCCCCTGGCAGCAGCAGAAAATGACCCTTAAAGCCAAAGAGTGAAGGGCAGGCGAAGTGTGACGCTGTGGGGAATGTGAATGCCATGGACAGGATGAGATTTGTGACTCAGTCTGGATAAAATAATAGGATAAGGTAATAGGATAAGATTATCTGACTCAGTTTCCCTGTGGTGTTCGATAATCAGCTGGTTTGGGAAGCGCTCAGGGAGGTTTTGTGTGAAACCTTAACCTGGAAAGGCAAAGAGGAGCGCAAGGACTTCTTAGGAACCTCTCTGATTGTCAGAGGGGAGGGAATAACACCCAGGGCTTGGGAAGGGACACCAGAACACCGAGGTCCGAGGCCTCATGAACATCCTTGATCCTTTTTTTAAAAAATTCAACCCCCAAGGAGATGTTTGAAGCAGTGGTGTTGGCATTAAAAGGGTGATGGGAATGTTCTGCTCCCAACCATCCATGCCAAGGGCTGTGACCATCAGCAGAGACTCACAGGAACATTGAACAGGGATGTGGCACTCCAGGAGAGCTGCAGCTCCTGCATTTTCTCCTTCCCASGAAGCAGCCCTTGTGCTGAGAGCTCGGGGTTGGGCTGATCCTGCCAGCTCCCGATGTTTGCACAAGGAAAAAATAAAACAATCAAGGTCAGGACTCACCCTGGGCCAGCCCCAACCTCTCTGAGAGCTCCCCACGGGAGTGTTCAAGCAGCAGGTGCCTGCTGCTGCCTCTCTGAGCTCACTTGAGTGCTTCAAAGGTGCCAGGGAGGAGTCTGCAAAGCTTTCCCGGTGTTCCCGTCCCTCTGAAGTGCCCGGCTGGCACAGCAGCGGCAGAGTCTCACATCCTCTCTGCATCAAACAAAGGGGGATCTGTGCACACAATAGAGACTTCCCTGCACACAGCGAGGGCAGCTGCGAGCAGGGGGTTTGATGAGGCTACAGGTAGGATCTAACGTGCTGCAAATGATAATTTCCTGGAGCTGGAGGAGGAGAACTAATGATTCCTTTTGATTC